CACATATGGAAATCCAGTTGTCCAAGTACCATGTGTTGAAGAGACTGTTCTTTCCAAGTTGGTTGGATTTGGCATCCTTGTCAAGAACCAATTGGCTGTAGATGTATGGGTTTATTTCTGGACTCTCAATTCTATTCCATTAGCCTACAAGTCTGTTGATTTGCCAGTACCACACTGTTTTGATTGCTGTAGCTTTGTTGTGAGTTTTTAAATCTGGAAATCACAGTCCTCCAGTTCTTTTCTCCTTTTTCAGGGATATCCAGGGATCCTTGCAATTCCGTATGAATTTGAGGGTTGGGTTTTCCAATTCTTAAGACAAAAAAGGCCAATTGGAATTTTGTAATGAAGATGGTGTTGAATCTATAGGTTGTTTTAGGTGTGATTGACATTTTAACAATACTGTCTTCCTCCCCATGAACTAAGGATTTCTTTCCATTAATTTAGGTCTTCTTTAGTTTCTTTTACCAAATTTTTGTAATTTTTAGTCTTTCACTTCCTTGTTTAAATTTATTTCTAAGTATTTTATTATTTTAGACACTATTTAAATGGAATTGCTTTCTTCATTTCATTTTTGGATTGTTGATTGCACACAAATAGAAACACAACTGATTTTTGTGTGTTGATCTTGTATCTTGCAGCTTTACTCAATTTGTTTATTAACTCTATTAGTTTTATTATGGATTCTTTGGAATTTTCAGATATAGAATCACGTAATCATGTAAAAAGGAATAGTTACCTTCTTCATTTCCAGTTTGAATTCCTTTTATTTCTATTTCTTATCTAATTGCTCTGGCTAGCACTTCTACTTCAGTGTTGAATGCCATTGGTGAAAATGGGCATCTTTATCTTGTTCCCGATTTTAGAGGGAACTCTTTCAGTCTTTCACTATTGAGTATAATGTTAGCTATGCAGTTTTCATAAATGCCCCTATCATTTTGAGGAAGTTCATGTCTATTCCTTGTTTCTTGAGGTTTTGTTTTTGTTTTTACCATAAATGGGTATTAGATCTTGTCAGATGCCTTTTCTGCTTCTATTGAGATGATCATGTGCTTTTTATCCTTTATTAGTGTGGTATATTACATTGATTGATTTTCCCATGTTGAACCACTCTTGCATTCCTGGGATAAATCCCACTTGGTCATGATGTATAATGTTCTATTGAATTGGGTTTGCTAGAATTTTATTAAGGATATCTGCATCCATATTCACAAGAGATGTCGATCTGTAGTCTTCTTGTAGTCTTTGTTTGCATTGGTATTAGTGTAATGTGGTCTCATAGAATGGGTTAGGAAGTGTTCCTTCCTTTTCAATTTTTTGGAAGGATTTGAGAAGGATTGGTGTTAATTCTTCTTTACATGTTTAGTAAAATTCACCAGTGAAATGATTTGGTCTTGGACTTTTCTTTGTCAGGAGGTTTTTGATTACTGATTCAACCTTTTTACTTGTTACATGTCTGTTGAGATTTTCTATTTCATCTTGAGTCAGGTTAGGTCATTTCTGTGTTTCTAGAAATTTGTGCATTTCATCTAGGTTATCTAATTTGTTGGTGTAAGTTGTTTATAGTATTTTTTATAATCCTTTCTATTTCTCTAAAATCAGTAGTAATGCCTTCACTTTCATATCTGATTTAGTTATTTGGATCTTCTTTGTCACTCTAGATAAAGGTTTGTCAATTTGTTGATTTTTTTATATAACCAACTTTTACTTTTGTTGATTCTCCTTTGTTTTTCTATTCTCAGTTTTATTTTTCTCTATTCTAATCTTTTCATTTCCTTCCTTCTGTTAGCTTTGGGTTTTGTTTTGTTTCTATTTCTACAGAATGTCTAGAAATCGCCATAAGGTGATTTAAGATCTTTTTTTCTTTTTTAATGTAGTATAAATTTATCTGTGAGCACTGGTGTTGCTACATCCAGTAAGTTATGATATGGTATACTGTGT